GATCAAGAGGGTAACAGAAATGGTGATGGAGAGGGGGGTCACCGACATTTTTGGCATGATGAGATATTAGAATCATCGTGGTTGTCTATGGAGGGGGGAGAGGATGGCCCCGATAAGGATGGGAGAGGGGACGACGGAGGGGGTGGCCCCGATGGGAGGGGCGGATGACGTGGCGATGGAAGAGGTGGCCCCGGAGGTCGAGAGGACACCCGTCGTGATTGAGGGTAAGAGATATGCTTTGATGAGACGGAGCAGGTGGTCGGCAAGAGGTTGAAAGTGCCATCACAGTATGTTGTTTACCCCTCCATGACTGAGGTCAGAGGAGGACGTTCATCGATGGGACGCACCTGAACTTATTCAGGGAGGTGGACAACGCCAAGTGGAAATCGTTCGAGACGGAGTGGAGGAGAATTATCCACGGGTGAGTATTGTATGATTTTAATAAAGCACTGTACGCTAACTCGTCTATGCTTATTTTAACATTTTTCTATTTTTTTAGAGTTAGCCGCACGATAGGTAATCGGACGGTCTTGGACACTTACAATTGGTTCCACGATATCACAGCTTCGGGAGCTTGGCTCGCCGACGATGTAAGTGAACTATTCATTTCGTGTTTTTTATGTATATGTCACTTTGTGTTTATTAAATGAATAACTCATACTTTTTTGGTGTTTCCTGATACATCACATCGACCTGGCCATGGACTTGCTGCGAAATCGAGCTCAAAGACATCCAAAATCATTTGACGTCCATGGTCGAGTTATATTAAACACTGAGTTCCTGCATGCCGTTACCATAGAGTATCGGTCGCTCCAACTTATGGGTAACGAGTACATGGTGCCAGAATATATGCTCGAGTGGGTCATAGGAATGTCGCCGAGTGTCGGGCGAAAATCATGGGAGGGTTGTACACATGTACATTCCAGCGTGCATCAATAAGCACTATGTTACGTTGGAGATCGTTTTTGCTAACACGACTATATATGTGTACGGCTCAGATCATTCATGTTTGACACGAGGCTAGCTGGAGCAAAACCTGGAATCCGTAGTTGTAATTGTTCCTGTGATGTCCAGACGAGTGGGGATGACCGTACAGGACAAATTGCAGATTGTTCGAAATACGACGACAACGCGACAGTCCATAAGACAAGTGTTTGAACTTTGTTGTTTTCATCTTTCAGATTTAGGTTTTAGCTACACAGTACTGAACTGATCTACTCTTGTTCAATTGTAGCGACGACTGCGACATATTTGCCATTAAATACGTTGATTTTTTAAGTATACGACATAAGGTTGATAGAATCAATCAATCGTGAATACAAAGCTGGAGAAAAAAGCTAGCTTGTGATTTGTTCGAATTTAATGGTGACCTATAAATTTGTATTAAATATATGTAACATTCGAATTGTAAATTTAATTATTTTTTGTGATTATGAAATAATTGTAAATTTGTGTTCAATGTATACAACATTCACATTGAAAATTTAATTATTTTTTTGTAAGTTGATTTTTTATTATTTTACACATATGTCGAGTATAAAACTATTTTTTTTCATATGAATCATTATAAATACTATTTATCAGGAATAAATATTGAATATTGAACATTTATGAAGAACAAATATTGAATAGTGTAAAGTAAACGAAAATATTATTCATTTAACATATCTGTCTAATTGTCATTTAGAGAAATTTGCCTGGCACAAAATTGCCGAGCATGCCCTATGGCTTTGCACTTGCCACACCTACGCGGTCGAGTACTTGGACGTTCAGGACACGCGGTTCAACTGCTGGTGGCAACAAATTATGAAACGAGAGAATGTGCTCGGGAACTTCCTACTCGACTTCATTCGGCAGAGGAAATATAATCTCAGCATATGTTGTTTACCAAGACTCAGTCGTATAATACAAAGAGCATAACGTTCTCGCTGCAAAGTCTCGATACATGGCCACCGCAACTGCATACTTACATGGAAAACTCTCCAATTGAAATCTCGTACAAGTGCATGTATTATCAGTCAAGTCCACCATATATGCCGTATTACGTGCACATTGCACGGAGAGGCGAAACTCATCTAGTGCTTCCACATTCAACTTCCTCGCAACCTCTGCCGTCTTAAAGAGTTTCTCCTCTTGAGCTGGGGTCAATACGCTAGTGCAACTCTGTGATGCCGCACGTCGGTCATGAAATCATTGTTGCAGCATGTTACGAATGTTCTCAATTATTGCGAGAATTGGTAACTCTCGATCCTTCTTAAACAATGCATTGAAAGATTCCGCATTATTCGACGTCATCATGTTGTATCGACGTTCTAAAAAGAATGATCGCCCCCAATATTCTATCCCCATGTTCGTCAGATACTCCAACGCCGGTAATAATTTATTTCCTATCTCGAACATGAACTTATTACACTCTTCAGCATTATAAGCTTCGGCTGCTCTCTGAACAATGAATCGATGCCTTTGTCCTGATACCTAGTCTTCAAATTACCTTGTATATGGTATATACAATACCCGTGATGTGCCTCGAAAAAAATTTCAGCGATACCGTTTATTATAGACTGTCCCCGATCGGTTACAAAGGCAACGTCTTCGACTTCCCCGATCACTTCCCTCAATCTAGAAAAGAACCAACGCATTGACAGATCATTCTCGCCATCGACTTTACCGAATGCAATAAGAAAAATTTGAATGTTGGCGTCTTGACATGTAGCAATAATTAATTTGCCTTGATATTTAGCTTTCAGAGTTGTACCATCAACTAGAATTACGGGTCGCATTGCATTTCGAAAACCACGAATACATTGTCTGAGAGCCATGAAGAAATACTAAAAACAATTATCGCCCCCCGTCTCAATAAAAAATGTCGTGCTAGGATTAGTTGTCTCCATGTTATGGCAATACCTGGCCAATTTAGCATAGCTCTCCTCAGCCAAGCCCATTAAATCCTCCAACACATATTCTTTGGCCTTCCAGGCTTTCTAGTAGCTCATGACCACTCTATACTTTCAACGGACGTCGTTAATGATGTCCAAAGGTCTGTAGATCGTCCGTAAGTCCTGATATTTGTGCATTATCTGTCAACCAATAAACCATGCTCGAGCTTGCCTGTGATCATTTCGACAATTTTCCACTTCGCAAGTATGTTCTCGTGCATATTTGCGAACTACAAAGCACTCGTTCGTGTCTATCTTAGTCGCTCTCAAGTGCCAATTGCAATTGTCGTCAACGCGGGCAACTGTCAACAATAACTTGGTTGATTTCTTTACCTTGAACTCAAAGTTATATTTTAATAACATCCGGTGCACAGTTTCCTGCAAATCTTTCTTGGTTTCAAATAGTTGCTTGACATACAAATCCTCATCATCGGGAGCCACACGCAAAGAATTGGAGGACGGTCCACTTGTTCCACCCCCTGAACTCCCACCCCGCTCAGGTCTCTGTCGGGATAAAGCAATTAAATTTTCATTTGTAAAATCATTTATATTTTCGTTGTCCTCAACTGTCGACGAAATTCTATGCGTAACAATGAATTCACGATCAGTAGCAATTGTCTCAAGAATAACCACATCATCTGCAGGAACTATCTCCACTGTCTCCCAAAAATCTCGGTCATTATTATCCTCTCCATCTGAATCTTCGCGTTCACCTTCGACAACATCTTTCTTAACTAAAGTTACGCCAAGAACAGTCGGAGTCCTATGCATTTTATTCAATTCTAATACATAATTCAATTCAACATCATTAGTAATAAATATTGGTGGCATCCGAATGGATGAATCCTCATAACTATCGAATGAATATCTCAGTTGCATATCATACTGAGAAGAATCAACATTCAGCTTATTTTGCAAATTTTGGTACACTTCCGCATATGATGTACTCTCTGTGACGGGAATTGCAATACAACCATATACATCACTCGTCCATTTTCATTCCCATCTACTATTTTCATTCAGTTCAAAATCACCGAATAACATACCGGGATTAACATATTTGCATGACCATATAGAATTTTTAAATCACTTACAACAACAAAAATTCAGATATTTAATTAACTTGTAATTAAAATTATAAGACAATTGTCAAAACAGAAATTAATAATAATAAAAAATCGTAAAACAGTCGGTTGTTAATGTGAGAAACAGCCGACTGTTTAACAGCCGTTGGTCGACTGTTAGACAGTTTTTTGACAGTCGACTGTCTACTATCTAACAATCTTCATTAACATCCCACAATTAATTGCCGGATTGTTTATTTTGCGTATACCTTTTTATTTTTCTATGGTTCAAAAGAAAAAATTATAAATCTATTAAAAAAAAATTCTACTAATTACTGTGTTATTTAATTACTCAGACGTATACTAATTTATTGAAATCGAAATTAAGCATGTAATAATATACTTACCAATTTGAAATAATTGATCTGAAAAAAATTCTGACTTCGACGTTTGAAGCTTTTTGATATTTTGAGATTCATGCAAATGAAAAATGAAAATTTTTCTGTGTTCGAAACTCGTTCTGTAGTTTTATAAGTGAGGAAGTGTTTGATTTTCAATTATTAACTAAAAGGGTAATAATATCTTTCAAACTATCCAATATTTTGTAATTACATAATATAATTAAAAGCATCCCTACCTTTTACCATTCAAGAGGTTAATGTGATAATATTCAAGTTTTTAAAACCTTTAACTAGGTCAATTTTAAAAGTACCCCCAATACTACCCCTATTTGGCCCCCATTTTATAAAAACTTTTTTTTCTAAAATTCATTTTTAACCACACATTTCATTGAACACGTAATTTTATCCAACATTTCAACCCCTACATTTTATCAAATTGTATTAAAATATACTAAAAAATTAATTTATATCTAAACCAAATAGTGGTTAGATAAATTTTTACACATGACCGTTCCTCAAATTTCTCAAGCGAACATGAATAATAATGTTATTTAACACCAGTGATGCTAGAACACCATTTTAGATGACCACACTTGATAAAGTCTAATTAAATGGATAATTTGACTTTGCATTTTATGAATATATCATTTGTTGCTTTCTAGTTGCCACTTAAATTGGTGCTAAACACGTTTGGTGCTAAGTGCATTTAACAGCTACAAAACCAACAAGTGAAAACAAATAGTCACTTGGGCAGACGACATAGTAAACTCAACACTCGCGCGCTTCACGACAACATATTCCTTAATAAATTACAACGAAATGAGAACTAATTCAGAGTCGGGCTTTGAGACAAATGGGAAAAGGCACAGAGGGAGAGTTTCGGAATGTTACCATCCACAACCTACGTTAAGCAAATCCTCACTTTCTCGAACAAAATTGCGACTGCTTATTCCAGTTTTATCCTGTCAACATCTGACATAACCCCTTCGAGCTGCAGAGCAGTGTCGAGAAAGGAAACTGAATATAAACATATGCATAATACATATTGATATAAGGAAAACGTTAAATTCGAGGCATACCTTGACAATTTGACGCAAAAAGTAATCTCCATATCGTTTTGCCGGCTTGGATTCTATAACGCGAATCATGTCCTAAATTCAAAAAACAGAACTGGATTAAATCGTCAAACTTTTTGTGCCTTATGAACTTTATTCCCTAGTAGGCCTTCAATTACCATGCAGGATATATACGCAACTGATATCCGATCCTCATGTTTAAAATACATACTTGTATGCACACGTGCATGCGCGCGCGCACCCACACACATCAGAGAGAGAGAGAGAGAGAGAGAGAGAGGCGTTACTCCAGTTTAATTCGTGCCAAGAAAGAAGTGGTAGGGGAAATAACAGGTAAAAATCCCAGGAAAAGATTCTAATATGGGATCTCTATATTCAAATTGGTAGATCACATAAAAGTACGAGCTCCAGTACCCACAATCTAAGTTTTCAATGGTGAGACGAAGTTAAATGTATCAGCAATGCTCAAACAAGAACCAAAAAAATCGTAAGCGATCGATATATTTTCTCCACTTTATTGTAAGGCATAGAAAAAAATAAAAATTTCTTAGTGAGAATAAAGAAGCCAGTGTAAGACAAATGTTAATCAACACTTACATCATCAATGTAGAAATTCACATCAGCATTGGAGGTGATCTTTCCATCAGAATCTACTGCATGTGTTTTGTGTTTGTATGTCATCAATATTGTCCTGTAGAGAGGCCAGTAAACCAGTTAAGAAGTCATGCATATGACAAACAAGAAAGTTGGGCCTGACGTCGGAATAAATCCTCATGACATACGACCTGCATGGTCCATGACAATGTCAAAGCTGATATGCAGCAAGGGTAATGGGACAAAAACTACTTGATTTCAGAATTTCACCCCAATGCCAATTATATTTTTGCTTCATATTATCATCCAGAATGAGCAGCAAGCAACAAGAACGAAATACATTAGCAAACAGTAATCAACAGGTACCATGTCAGTAAATACCCATCTTTCAGGTCATACACAGAATGTAATTAGTGAGATTCCAAGCAGCAACCAATTTTAATTTTATTTATTCTATCTCAGTGAAATGAAAGAAACAACAGTTAGATTATATGAATATACTCGGTTCAAAATTAAATCAATTTATTCTACTTCAAAGTGAAACGAAATGAAAAACAGTTTGATCATGTGAACAATGCTTCGTGTTATTAAGTCCAAAATAGGGAATAAAGGTGAAGTTTGGATTTCTTTCCCTAGGAATACGTGCTTCTGAGCTCAATATGCCACTGACAAAACAAAAAACATACCAACATATGTTTCATAATAACTTCTATCCAGCAGGTATCTTCAAACAGAACGAGAAAAAAAAATCAATGATTAAACAATACGATGCCTTCGGAAAATTTATGTTACAAAGCAAAGCAACAGCAATAAGACTTGTTGTCATAGATGAAAACTTCCAAAAGCCAGGCAATTGATGATCGCTTGAAATCAAGAAATCTTACTAAAGTTTACAATGAATCACGTTTTCACAAACTAAGAAAATATTGGCAAGTCAGCATGAGTAAACACATTATGTATAAAGTAAGATGAGCTAAATTCACCTTCACAAAAATAAAGCAACATACCTCCGCAGCATAAGGCTGGCAAACCCATAATGATATATGGTAGTAATGTGGCTTCCAATAACGCTGAAGTACACACCTTGTTGACTTATGTCAATTGGTAGTAAGCACTTCAATCCAGTGTGATAATCGCCCAACAAACAATGAACTCTAAGCAACCCTATCATGCTAAAATACCCCAAGACCTTCAAGACATTACTTCCACCATTATAATCATATCCATCTGTAGCAGTAAACTGTACAAGGCCTTCCTTCTCCTGCTCCAGAATTTGAATGATGGTAGATTTCTCCACAAGTGCTTGCAAGAAATTGAGAACGCCATAAACATTCCAAGCCTGTAAAAGAAAAATGTACACGTACAATTCAATCTTCAAATGATTAGTTGTAGAAATGAAATGTATGGATGATGCAACCAAGTAAACCACAACTGCCGGTAGAACTGGAGAAAGAAGGAAGAAGCGGATGTGCATATAGAAGCCGTAATAATAATATCAACAGCGCTATAGATGATAGGAATGGTATTTGACAACAACGACAGACAAAAACAACTGATAAAAAAATAATTCACAAGATTTCCCAATAAAAATATCAATATTTTTTAAGCCTTGAAAAAGAGGACAGCAGCTCATTTCCCTCCTGCGTTTTTCTCACCCAACCGAAAAACCAAACATACTGACACACAGACAAATTCAAAGTTGTTACAATTATCACAAAAAGCTCTACCACTCAAACCAAGTATCAAAACCAGGTACAACCAAGGGAAGAAAACATATACAAAATAACAACTGAGAAAATGTGAATATAAACTTACAATTAATAAAAAAAAGCATCCATATTAGGGACATACCTGATCATACTGCCTCAGGAGAGCAATCTCCTGCTCTGTCTTGCTCTTCATCTTGGCACGGTACTGGCAGAATGACTGGAACTGGTAAACAAATTCATCCACCATGTCCCACAACCATTGGTTTGGCAATTGCATATTGACCACCCCATGCAACACAACCTAACATCATTAAGAAATAAGTATCACTCATATGAACATTCATCCATACAAACTAACAGGAAAATCATTACTCAGAAGGCCACCAAATAAAAACACAAGCAACTGATCCTCAGTTCAATGGAATTGTGTACACCATATGCATCAACACAAATACGTGCACTGGAACGCATTGTTACTTGAACCAAATCGGTTAACTTCGAACATTTCCTTTTCCAATTGAAATCCCCTCAGTGTGAGACATTGTTTCCTTTCGGGAATATGAAGTCTTAGTTCTTCAATTGACCTTCTAATGGCAGCTTAGCCAGTTGCTTTAGCAAGCTTCTGAGCATGAACCCTAGATACATGCCATTAGTTATGCTCAAGCATGGGATAACATGGCTAGATCAATCATCCCCTATTTCAAATTTTGTTGAATAAGTATATTCATCAATAAACAGGCTGCAGTCCAAGATGCATTTCCTTTTTCATAGAGACAGATATTAACTGATATGTAACTGTAAGATCTATAAAGTTACTCGCATCATCCCAAAATTGAATTCCCTATTCTCCACGTTATAATATTCCCATAAATATCCATCGTTCATAAATTTTTATTTAAATACACTGCACACCCAAATTCAGTTGGGAATCTTCTTATGAGCTATACAACACAAAAACACACAATAGAACTCCAACTAAAATTACCTTGTGCTGCAAAACCTGTAACTTCCACCTCATTTTCACTATTCAAATGCGATGGACCAGCGTTTTATCACAATTATCAAATCATATTTTGCGGTTGTTCCAAAATTCATATTGCAGTGAAAAAATAAATCATTTTAACTTATGAATAGTAGCATCCATTAAAACATTATATTAAAAAATAAATCCCTTAACGCATGAAAAAATAAATCCTTTAACTCATGAGTACGAGCATCCATTAAAACATTACATCGCTTGGATTTCCACTACACTCCACCTGTCACTCAATTTCATGTAAAGTATAATTAAAATTTAAAATATTTTACACTCTTATTACTTATTAACTTCAACGTGCATATACAATAATGTCCTCTTGGTTTCTAATATAAATTTTCATTCTCACTAAATCTCTTGCTCCACTCCCACTCCCTTATGACGCTTATGGACTTCATAACGCGCACAAAGCAGGCAATTATGGAATTTAATATATAAATATCCAAATTAAAAAAAAAATGAAGCACGAAATAATCATTTGACCTGGAATAGACTGCAGTAATTATCCCACGAATCAATCCGCTGTTTGAGCGTAGGCGAATGCCTCGCATACAGATGGCGGAACCACATTTCCCGATAGAGCAAGCAAAACACATGATCATTATCCACATACGGTGCCACTGCATCGACCGAGGGCCATGGGGAGTCCTTGAAAAACCGGTCACTGATGCTCTGAAATGAGGTTTCGTACATTTGGTGAATCTCGTACACGTTCTTCTCCCTTATGTGCCGATAAATGTGGACCACAAACGATCTCACGGAGTCAGGTACATAATTCGGGTCGTACCCGGCCGCGGCAGATTCCGCTTCGGGTTTCTGTTGTTGGGAGCCATAGTCGAACGACGCCGTACCGGCCATTGTGGCGATGTGGTTAGTTTCAGTCGGAGGACGAATTTCTCTCTCAAGGGTTTTGCAGATAACAGTGAGAGGGAGACAGGAAGAGAGTGGCTTGTCGTGCCCTAATTGGACTCTAACTATGGACCAACTTTGGACTTATATAATGGGCTTCTCTGAAGTCTAATATTTTAGTGGGTTCTTGAGAAGCCCAAGTTTTTCAAACTTTTTGGATCAAGAGATTCTAGCCCAAATTTAGAAGATTAAAATCGTTCAGTAAAACAGCTGGGGAATATTTCGTATTTAAGAGATTAAGTTTGAATGTTTGATCCATTTCAAAATTAAAATCAAGGTTTATTATTTCAAAAACTAGATATTATTTCAATTTTATTTATGAAATGGTAATTAAAAATATATTTATTAATTAAATATATTAAAATCACAATTTTATATTACTTGGTTACAAATTATTGAATTAATTGGTCTCGAATTATTTTTCGATCATGAACCATAAATTTTATAGGTCACAAATTATTTCACGATCACAAACCAAAAATTTTATAAATCACAATTTATCCATAGGTTACAGATTAAAAATTTTGTAGGTCGCTATTTATTTTATCCGTCATAAATCACGTTCTATAAGTTATGATTCAAATTTTAAGTCACATATTATTTATTGATTACAAAATATCCCATATATTGATCACAATGTCGAATAATTGGTCATATATTATTTATTATTGACAAATAAACCAAATTATTGATCACAATCAACCAAATAATTGATTACAAGCACCTCCACGCCATCCTACTCGCAGCCACCGCCACGACCCCCACCAACACCATCGCCAGCATCTCTACTTACACCCCCAACAACACCAAAATATGGAAAACCACCATAACCACTTCAACAAAACCAACACCTCACCGTCACCACCACAACCTCTTGCACCAATCATCTGTAGTAGCACCATCACCACCACCACGACCATTGCACCAACATCACTAATAGTTGGTCAAAGGGTCTCTCCATCACCAAGGTCCCTAAAGACCCTCCTACCACCATCATCATCGCCATCGCCAACTCTAGATCCACCACCATCGTCAGCACCTCCACCTGCACCACCAACAAAAACCACCCCAAACCCCCAAAACACCAATACCACCACTACAAGCAGCATCAACACTATCATCACCAGCAACTTGGCACGAGGCTGTGCCTCCAGTGGTTTGGTGTTCTAAAAGAAATAAAAGAAAGACGGGAGAGAGATATAGAGAGAGAATGGAGAGTTGAAAAATAAATAGGGTTTGGGTGGATTAGAGTGGGTATATGGATTAATTTAATTTTAAAATATTATTATTAACATTAAAGTGTTGAATTATCATCTGATTTTTGTAAAAATAAACTTTAAATCTGATTTTTGAAATGGTAATTTGAAAAATCTGGTTCCATATAATTTTCACTTGTGTTTAAGTGCAAATTATATATATACAAAATCATTTCATGCGAAAGTTGCACAACTTCTTGATCAATTGTTTTGTTTCATGATCCAAGCCCCCATATAGTCTAGATTTTTCGATCAACTGGAAGCTGCTTTCGATGAAGACGATGAAAATTTATATTACGCAATCCTGACCATCCATCTTTATCCGCCAACTCCCTTATTTCCATCTTTCCTTATATATCATATATCTACATGTTTCGTCAACACTTTGCAAAAGATAGTAACTTATGAGTATACTTTGATCTCAAAAGTTGCGCGTTTGTTTCAAAGAGATCAAGTAAAAAAATAATGATTTTTTAAAATAAATGGGTGTTAAAAAGGAAATAATTATTGATTCCATAGAATTTGCGTTTGAAAATAATTTTCAAACTCTCCCAAACAAGTTCTGAATTGGTGCCTTTTCCCATTTCTCCTAACAAATACATATTTGTGACTATCATGCTACATGTACATCAAATTTGGCATCATGCGAGTTGACAGATTTTTGTACATTAATTTTAACAACACTTTT